AAAGCCAGGAGATTGAACCACGGGGCACTCAGTGTGTGAGGTGAGTGCACTTTCCAACCCAGTCACAGGACCTGATAATTTTCAGATATACAGCTATGTAACTGTATATAGTTAACAAAAAAAGAAGAACAAATGCCCGAAAAAAGCATACCCTACACTTGTGCCCCTTTATCAAAAAGGGAAAAGGGTTCATCATTTTCTGTAACTACATCCATAAAGAAACCCTGGAAAATGTTTCACGTACAAAGGGTTTTTGATTCTGTCTCCTCTTTTCCCAAACCCAAAACTTATATTATTATAGGGGTTTACATGCAGTAAAAGGGCCCCGCTTTACGGGGTTCCCTTTAAAACGGCGATATAAATTATGACCAAAATTTGCTATACGGCAAACGGGGCTTTCCAAAAAATTTCGGGGCCCCCCACCCGGTTTTTTTTCATTTTCCCTGATCACATTATTATTTCAGGGAAAAATTTCCAAAAATTCAAGTGTTTTTTAAAAATTTTCGCATATTTTATATGTACTCTGATTAATTTTTCTTATGTGTACCTGGGCCTAAATATACTTACACACTGTGCTGGTTGCAGGTACCAATTTAAAATTTCCCAAAATCTCTCTCTACTTATGACGCCAATAATACGTAATAAAAATCACTCTTGGGCACACTAAAATGTCTTATTTTTCAAACAAAAATAGGCAATTTTTATTAAACCCTCTTTGATATTTTCCCCCAAAAAATTTTATATGAAACCCCCTTTTTATAGCATATAAAAATGTACATACACTCAAAAATAAAAATTGATGTAAAAATAAGAATTTTTTTTACAAAGCAGCTGTGTAAGGTAGTGGGCGGAAGAAAAAACGTTTTTTCTAGTCAAACTGGGGGATAACGTGAAAAATTTTTCTTTTTTGTATGCCTTTACCTATTTTATAAACAATTCACGACCCCCTTTTGGGGTTTTGTGCTTTTTTATTAAAAAAATAAAATAATTTAAAAAAAAAAAAATTAAAAAATAATAATATTATTAAAAATTATTTAAAATTATAATTAATAATAAAAAATAAAAATTAAAAAATTTTTTAATAAAAATAAAATAATATTAATTTTTATTATTAAATTTTTATCTTAAATCACTCTAAAAAAAATGTGTTGCTGTTTGTTTTTTCCCGAACTAAAATTTTACAACTTGTACAAAAAGTAAGAGTAAATTTTAATTGTGAGGTAATTATTTTTTATTTAAAAAAAAATTTTTTAGATAAAAGTTTTTTCAAAATCTTACAAAAGTACGTGAAGGGAAATAAAAGTAGACAAATATTAAAAAGCATTTATTTCGCCTGGGCCAAGTGATTTGCCCACTTTCCTGGTTTAGTTTGTGTTTTTTCATTTTCCCCCAACTCTGTATCTCATTCCCTCTCTCATTTACTCTTTTGTTAACTAGTTGGCTCTCTTTACGATGGGGTTTTAAACTTAGCTGTGAAAAAAAAGAAAGTCGTTAAAAATTTCTTTAAGTGCCAAGTTAGAGATGGTGTGGGCCCCTTTTAATTTTATTCAATAAACACCCCCGCCCTCCCCCTCTCACACATTAAATTAATTTTTTTAAGGTAAGTAATAAATGAAATCTGTGTGTATCTTACCTTTTAATTTTTGTTTTTTAAAACCTTTTTTCTATTTTTCTAACTTTAAAATAAGTTTTTTCAAACTTTTTGTCGGCATTTATTGCTATTTTATGTGTGCTCTAATAATAATACTTGTGGCGCTGGTTGGAAACCGGGGGGAGGGATAACATTCATTTTCTCGGCTCCCATCAGAGAAAACGTGTATGAATTTTGCGTTTGGCCCACCCCTCCCCCCACTCCGCTTTGGTTTTTCAAATTTTTTTGGGGATGAATTATTCATTACTTCTCCCTTCATTAGTGGGCATCTAAAGGTAGTTGTTAGAAAAGATTAAATTCAGTGAACAAGGGAGGGCATGTTTTAAAAATTGGCTCTGGGCCACAGTGTAGGTAGCCGGGAGGTGTAGCCCAGGGGGGCTACACCCACCAGCTACCCTACCTGACTTCCTACAAATAAAAACAAATCACCTCTTTCCCATATTAAAAAATACCCCAAAATTTTAAGGTAAATAATTTAGTTTATGTATGTGATTTTACCTCTTGGGATGGGTTTTAAAAAAATCGGGTTTTTAAGGAGAAAGGGGGGCCCAAAGGGGTAAACCCACAAAACCCGGGGTTTCCTGCACCTGACTTCCTACAAAACGTACTACCACCTCTCTCCCACAATTTAAAATTACAAAAACTTTTTAAAATTTAAAAAAAAGAAATTTTCTGTGAATGTATTTTTAAATTTTGTGTATTTTTTTAAAGTCTGGTTTTTATTTTAAATTAATTTTAAAATTTGGGGTAAATTGTTTTTTGGCATTTTATATGCACTTTTTTTAAAGGAAAAAAAAAAAAATGGCGTTTTTCCTTCCGGGAAAGTCTGCTTTCTGGCAAGCCTGGAAACCTTTAAACCCCCCGGGATAAGTGGGGCCCTACTGTATATGGTTTTACGCTGGTGATTATCATCTTATCATATACATGAAGAAGTGGTAGATGTGTCTGCAAGTAAATTAGAACAGTGCTTTCAGAAGGTATTACATTAGGTTGTGATGGCTGTGGGATTTCAAACAGTAATAGCCTGATTGTGGCCTGGCCTCAGGCAGGGTTGATAACCCATTTTCATTTTAAAACCTGTAGGGGTCAGACAGCATCTGGGGAAATAGAGGCAATAAGATTTGATCAAATTCCTTGAATCAAGAGCCCCTCATCAACATCAAGAAACATCCCTTGAGGAGTTACAATAGTGATGACCAACATGGAAACATCACAATGTGTTTCAGGCAAATTAAAATTATGTAAGATTGACAAACTCAAGGTTGGTTATGCTAAGACTGACATATCTTATATGTCTGAAAATAAAATTACTAATATAATGACTGCATTAAATAGCAAACTTTGTATATTTATAACAGTAACATTATACTGAGGAAAGAGTAACAAGTAGTTAATGGGGTTTAAAACCTAACGTCAACACCTGGGTCATTACGGCTGAATCATTCAAGAATACAGCCTCTCCTCACTTAGCGACATACTCATTTACCAACGACTCGGACTTACGATGGGCTCTCTGACCAGGATGCATACTTAAATAATGTATATTATATACTAAATATACTAAAAATGTTATAAATGGTGCAAAGGTGACATTAAAACAATATAAAAAATGGTTGACACAAACCCACTATGATTACAGTATGCTCCTTGCTTAGCGACGAATTCGTTTACCGAAGTGGTCTTAGGAACGGAACTCCATTGGTAAGTGAGGAGAGGTTGTACTTTAACCCTTAAAGGAGTTAAACTTAAAATAAACTCTCAGCATATATACCCTGGCAGAAATATACCACTCAAGTGTAAATAATTCACTTTGCCTGACTTTTTCGGTTATCCTAGGTAATACATACATACATACATACATACATACATACATACATACATACATACATACATACATACATACATACATATACATACATACATACATACATACATACATGTATGTATGTATGTATGTATGTATGTATGTATGTATGTATGTATGTATGTATGTATGTATGATAATTTGTGTAATTGTATTTATGTGTATCCCTGGAGTATACCTGGAGAGAGTTCCAGGGGTCAACACCCCCATGGCTCGGTCTGTGACCAGGCCTCATGGTGGATCAGGGCTTGATCAACCAGGCTGTTACTGCTGACCACACGTAATCCAACGTATGAACCACAGCCCAGCTGGTCAGGTACTGACTTTTGGTGCCTGTCCAGTGCCAGCTTGAAGACAGCCAGAGTCTATTGGTAATCCCCCTGATGTATACTGGGAGGCAGTTGAACAGTCTTGGGCAACTGACACTTACTGTGTTGTCTCTTATTGTGCTAGTGGCACCCCTGCTTTTCATTGGGGGAATGCTGCACCGTCTGCCAGTCTTTTTTGCTTTCGTAGGGAGTGATTTTTGTGTGCAAGTTTAGTACTAAGTCCCTCTAGGATTTTCCAGGTATCTCACCCTCCTGCATTCTAGGGAGTACAGGTTTAGGAACTTCAAGCATTCCCAGTAACTGAGGAGGTTTATCGCAGTCATGTGTGCCATGAAGGTTCTCTGTACTATTTTCTAGGTCAGCAATTTTGCCTGCCCTGAAAGGTGCTGTTAGTGTGCAGGAATGTGTACATGTACCTAAATAAACTTACTTGCCCAGGAGAGAGTAACTTAATGATAATGTTTTATTTCTTTGAACCTTGCTTGCACGAAATGCTCTGCATAACCCTGAACTTTCTGCATGCATTAAAAAAAATCAAATAATCAAAAAGAAGTGCTAAACCTACAAGGGTCATACAGCACAGCTGGGATAGTGCAGGGCTAGATAGTAGCAAGAGGGAGAGTTAGAAAGGGCTGTGAGGAGTGCTAGAGGAAATATCATTAAAGTTTGTGCAGTAAATCAGTCAAGATTAGATTTCATTCGGATTTTTAACCCCGGAGGGTTAGCCACCCAGGATAACCCAAGAAAGTCAGTGCATCATCGAGGACTGTCTAACTTATTTCCATTGGGGTCCTTAATCTTGTCCCCCAGGATGCGACCCACACCAGTCAACTAACACCCAGGTACCTATTTGCTGCTAGGTGAACAGGACAACAGGTGTAAGGAAACGTGTCGAAATGTTTCCACCCGCCGGGAATCGAACCCGAGCCCTCCGTGTGTGAAGCGGGAGCTTTAGCCACCAGGCCAAAAAGTCAACGAGTGTCTGAGTCAAAGATGGATCCGTCAGTAAAGAGGGAAGATAAAGTAAGGGCGTTAGAGCGGTGCATGCAATCAAGTGTTACCCATTTCTGTACAAACATTGTATTATGTGGAAATAAACTCTGACTCTTGACTTCAACAAATAATCATCAGACAGCTGTATCCTTGGAGAACTTACCTAACAATCTTGTAACTGTTGTTGTGCCTCTCCCCGAGTGTGGATTAAGTGCATTTCTCAAGTGGTGGCAAACATTTGAAACAACTCGAAACTGAGTAAACATGGCGTGTGATAAGTTACTTCTTTGTTGTTCCTGGGTTTATCAGAGTCACGTTGTTGGGTTTCTCCTTCTTGTTGGTGTTTTTAGGGCCACTGACAGTTTAGGCCGTGGTTTGTTGGGTTTATCAGGGCCACTGACAGCTTACTCTGTATTAATAATAATAATAATAATAATAATAATAATAATAATAATAATAATAATAATAATAATAATAATATCTTTATCTCTACAAGTACATGTACAAGGTATACAAGTATAGCTGACATCAATGACATACTATTATATAGAAAATCCCTTGTTATGCGGAGGATTTCGGGCAAATTAAGTCAGTTTTGTCCCAGGATGCGACCCACCCAGGTACCCAGTTTACTGATGAGTGAGCAAAGACAACCGGTGTAAGGAAACACGTCCAATGTTTCTACCCTCACTGGGAATGGAACCCGGACCCTCGCCTTGTGAAGCGAGAGCTTTAGCCACCAGGCCACTGGGCGCTGTAATTGAGCCTCCCCTCAAGGAAGGTTCCTTGATGTTGGTGAGGGGCTCTTGATTTAGGGAATTGGATCTGTGCTCCAGTTCCCGAATTAAGCCTGGGAAAGCCTTCCACATCCCCCCCCAGGCGCTGTATAATCCTCCGGGTTTAGCGCTTCCCCCTTGATTATAATAATAATAATAATGTAATTGAGCCTGACTTCCTGATGTTTGAACTTCATCATAAAGTAACCACCGAACCCATTGATGTTGTGTGTCTACAAGAGTGCAGAGTCCCTGAAAAATCCCAACCCCCTAAATTACCATCATTTGTTGCATATAACCTCAAATCTACTAACTCTTGTGTTCTATATATTAAAAAATCACTTCCCCATCAACTTCTTGCACACAAGAAAACAGAGGGGCTACAATATCACGGTGTTAGGATTTATATAGGGAACTCTGCTCTCAACATATTTAACTTGTATGCTCCTGCTGATAAATTTAATTACTTGGAGCTCCCAACTTGTGCTCATTCTGAGCCTACTCTTATTATTGGCGATTACAATGCGAGACACAAAAGCATTGGAAACTCAGTTTGGTAATCGTAATGGCAATCAACTGTTGTCACTCTTAAACAGTCATGATAATGTCCAAATTGTAGGTGACCTTGAACCCACACATATCTATGGAGGCGTCCTTGATCTGTGCCTGGGCTTCAACATTACTTCTGCCAGCTGTGAGTCTTCCATTGTAACAGATATAGCGTCTGATCATTTCCCTAGGCTAACCTCTCTAGATATTGGTAATACTATCCTTCCTGGTGGGATATTCAAACGGAAACGTTTTAATGTTCCCACAGATCAGCATGATGACTTTGTTGCACATGTGACTGACTGGTATAATTCCTATGAGTGTTCCTCTGTAGAGACCTTTAACAATGATCTTGTGAGCAGTATTCAGAACTACTTAGAGCCGCCACTGCAACCTCTTGGTACTCTAAACCCAACAAACTTCCGTAATAATCATGCCTCCTTCAAATTGCTCATTACTCTATAATTTGTTCATGATTGTAGCCAAAGTATAAACGTAAGTAACCATTCTACAGAATTCATTACCTTTGTAACTTGTGAGCTCATTGCCTTTGTACCTAGTTCAGCTATCAAAACTTTGGGGGCCCAGTCCCTGGACCCATTACGTACCTCTGTAATCTGTAAATACCTTTGTAACTTGTCATGATTGTGACCAGACTTACCTGGAGTTCATTACCTTTGTAAATTGTGAGTTCATTACCTTTGTAAATTGTGAGTTCATTACCTTTGTAAATTGTGAGTTCATTACCTTTGTAAATTGTGAGTTCATTACCTTTGTAAATTGTGAGTTCATTACCTCTGTAACTTGCTCAGCTATCAAAACTTTGGAGTCCAGTCCCTGGACCAATTATGTACCTCTGTAATCTTTTGACTACCGCCCACAGGATGGGTATGGGGTGCATAATAAACATATTAAACTAACTCCTTCAAAAGCCATACTTATTACAATGATTCTAAACTTCGTACACTGAAACGTACTGCTCGCAGACTAGGCCTAGCCTATAGAAAACATCGTACCCCTGGAATGCTGAGGCTCTTCCAAACTGCCCTTGCTGCTGCCAGAGAGCGTATGACAGAGCTGCGGCAAACCGACTGGGAAAAATTTGTCAACGGTCTTAATGCTCACACCCCACTTAGCCGGGCATGGAGGGACATAAATAGAATTAAGGGTAAACGAACTGGGCAGATCGCGCACCCTCATCCCTTGCATAGGGCGAATGAGTTAGTCAGTGCTTGGGCTGCTACATCTAGCTATGACAATCTTCCCAGTACCACACAGGCAAAATTAAATGATAAATATGATGCAAGGGAGAGACTGTTTGCTTTTGCTCAGTAAGGCAGTATGATTGCAACATTCCTTTCACTAATTATGAACTTGATGCAGCGCTAACTAAGGGCAACTCCACGTCGCCTGGTGAGGATGGTATTACTTACAACATACTCAGATTGCTGTGTCGAGTACCAGGTAATCCATTACTTGAATTATATAACATGAGCTATGTAACTGGGGAGCTCCCTCAATCTTGGACCAACAGCCTCATCATTCCAATTCCTAAGCCCAATCAACAAAATGCATTTCGCCCAATATCTCTTACTAGCTGCTTGTGTAAAACATTTGAATGATTCTTAATCGTCTCATGTACAGAATCAAACAATTTTTGTCTCCCCGGTTACATGGTTTCATGCATGGAAGGAGCGTGCATCATTGCATAGCCACCTTTCTCACCCTGCACACTGACAGCTCCTACACTACCTTCCTTGACCTTAAATCCGCTTTCGATGTAGCCAACCGACATGTAATAATTAGTGAACTTGCCAGAATGGATGTTGGAGGATGGCTTCTCCGCTGGATTAAAGGCTACCTGTCCAACAGAAAATCGTCTGTGTTGTTCCAGGGACATAGAAGTGTAACTAAAGACTTTGAATTAGGAACCCCACAGGGAGGTGTGCTCAGTCCCACACTGTTCAATATTCTAATTAATGCATTACTTAATGCTATGCCTAGTCAGCCCATAATTATGTGATTAGTTTTGCTGATGATATAATGATTCACACCACCGGATTCTCCAACACCCAAAACATTCTTAATCATGTACTAGCCTCGTGTCAGGACCTGGGGTTGATAATCTCTACTGATAAAACAAAGATACTCAATAGGCGTCCTCCTCGACAGAGAGGCACAGTTCGTCAGATCCAATTGCATGATGGGTCTCTTCTAGAATATGTAAGCAGGTACAGGTATCTAGGCTTTGAGGTTCCACTACTTGGACCTGTTGTAACAAGACTTTGTCGCCAATACAAAGAACGACTAAGAGCACTTAGAGTTGTGGCAGGGCTTCACCCCAGGTATGGTGCTAATGTTAAAATTGTGAAAATGATGTATCTTGCTTATATTAGATCATTGGTTGATTATGCTGCGCCACTACTTGCTCTTGTGTCTGACTGGAAGCTTGGAGGGCTGGAAAAACTGCAGAACGAAGCAATGAGGATCATCCTAGGATGCCCTCGTACTGCCAAAATTTTAAATATGCAAAAAGAACTTGATATTCCAAGCATCAGAGATCGTGTTACTGAAAGAAATATCCTAATTGGGGTTAATATGCTCAGGCAAGCCCATTCAAACCCCTGCACAGAAGCCCTCCAAACTTTCTTCAGCACTGGTGAACACTCCTCCAGATGGATCGAAAAGACTGGAACCGACCTCCGCATGAATCAGATACATGATCTATGTCAAGTAAGGCAACAGCGGCACTTCTCCGCTCCATGGAATATTACCCCATTCCAAACTACCATTCCTCCATTTCCCCCCAAACTACTTCTTAAATCACAACCAAAACTTCGCCTTGAAGCCAAACACGAGGCCTTAAGCTGTATTGATAACTTAGTCACACAGCACACACTCTCGCAAATTATTTACGTTGATGGTTCTGTTCACCAATCCACGGGTGCAGCTGGTAGTGCTGCTGTTGTCGTACAGAGTGATGGCTCTCTTAAAGAAATTGGAGCACGCATCAATAATTGGGCTCTACCCTTCAGACAGAACTGTTTGCCATACTCCTTGCACTGAAATGCATCTATGTATCAAAGATTGACAGTTTAATTGTAACTGATTCTCTGTCATCCATAAATGCTCTCAACTCATTAAGCATAAATTGTGGCATGCTTGTGTCAGAAGCCAGACACAGGTATGGTTAGGATTGTGGACAGTGGAGTCAGAGTGCACATGCTGTGGATTCCATCTCACATTGGTCTTCAGATGCATGTAGAACTGATAAATTGGCTAAGCTGTATGCTTTCAAAGAGGGAGTAGATTACAATCTTGGCTTGTCAGGTAGTAGTTTGAGAACAATAATACGAAAAGAACTTCAGCTGAATTTTATGGACTTAAGGCTCAGGGAGATTGACACCAGTGAGTCCATCTATCATCATTCTATCATGCAGGAGGAGCCACATGTCTATGGTGCATCCAACAAAATAAGCAGACTCTTGGATGTCACTACCGCCCGGCTCCGGCTTGGTTACAAGTATCTTTGGCAGGTTTTAAAACACCACCACCAGATGTAGACCAAACGAAATGTAAACTTTGCCAGATGGATTATTGTCACACCCTGCGTCATTATGTACTGGAGTGCAATAAAATTAATGAATTTAGAAACAACTCACTCAGAAGTGTTCAAGAAATGGCTAAGTATTTTATCCACAGTGGTATATTACAGACCATTCTGGAGAATACCCTGACTTTGTAGCTGTAAATAAAGCATTACCACTATGTGCATGTGTGTGTGTGTGTGTGTGTGTGTTGTGTGTGTTGTGTGTGTGTGTGTGTGTGTGTGTGTGTGTGTGGTGTGTGTGTGTTGTTTGTGTGTTGTGTATGAGTGTGTGAGTGTGGTGTGTGTGGTGTGTGTGTGTGTGTGTGTGTGTGTGTGTGTGTGTGTGTGTGTGTGTGTGTGTGTGTGAGTATGAGTGTGTGTGTGTATGGTGTGTGTATTGAGTGTGTGTGCGTGTGTGTGTATGAGTTTGTGTGTGTGTGTGTGTGTGTTGTGTGTGTGTGTGTGTGTGTGTGTGTGTGTGTGTGTG